GTGCTTCTCTAGGCCATCTTGCACTCGGATGGCTGGTCCATGCTTCCCTGGGCACGTGCTTGTGGTTTTCACCCCTCACCCAGCACCAGCTCACCCATGCTCATTCGGCAACATGCTTGTGCACACGGGCCACGTCCCAGGCATGCACGCCTCTGGTCTCCCTGTTAGGAGCAGGAAAACCAGTGTAGGAAGTCAGAATTCAAGCTGTGCTCTTATAGCTGTAGAGTGTGAGTTCCATCTGACAGGTGCCAGGAACCTGCCCAGGGGCAAGAGGTGGCTATGGTGCCACGTGGGAAGCAAGGAAAGCCTTCCACCTTGCCCTTTTCTCTGGACTACCATAAGCCCCGTTCTTCCCTCTCCAATCAATCCTGTGTGATCCCATGTGACCTTTCTGAGCTTTAGCTTGAGCACCCTTTATTCACATGCCTTGCAAAGCTTCACATGGCCCCTGATGACACTGGCCTGCTAACGCGGCCCTCCAGGTGCCCTGTTCTCAGGGCACACTGCATGTCCAGACCCGAGTCCTGAGTTTCCCCTGTGAATTTCCCCCTCTGAGCATGGAGACTATGGCCAGTGGGTCATATCATCAGGCAGGAGGGCTGTGACCACAAAGCACCCGTGGCTCCTCAGGGGGCTGACCACACTCAGTCCATCTGCAAAACAGAAGGGTGAGTTGATGTCTTCAATGCTCCATTTGGCACCAGAACTCTATAAGAACCCTAAAATGGAGATAAAGATGCTGCCCACCAAGAACGGCCATGAGGCTTGTGAGAAAGGCCTTTTAGAGAGCACTCAGTTCCTGATGCAGTGAGGACATTCAAACAAAGGGAAGAGGGAAATTTTAGATCCTTCTTCATTTCCCTCTGTATTTAAAATGACTCTGAGAAATATCAATTGTCTTTCTTCTGGAGTAGCCTTTTAATTTCAGAGGTAGAGCTTAAAACGAGATGTGGAACTAAGCAGTTCATCTTGGAGGGTTGGGAGCCGGGAAGCCTGGCAGGGTGAATCACCTGGATCATTCCCAAGGGTTTGCTGCTGAATTCTGGACCAGCAGTTGGTGCCTGGAGAGATCCAGAGGGGACTCTACACACCGTACTCGAGGGGGCAATGAGTTATTAGTCTCCATGCCAGGACCTTGACCCTGGAGACGGGACCAAGTGCTGTCTCTATGGGACAGGAATAACACGCCACCCAAACTCTGTTCCCATGGATAAGGAGAAGGCAAGTACACCCTGCCTGCGTCATCCGATGCAATTCTTCCTGGCCAAGGCGAGAGAGATAGGGGGAGAGCCATGTTTACTTTACTAGTCTTTAAAAATTAAAAATCATTAAATGTATTAAATTATTTAAAAGTATTAAAATTTTAAAATAATTCAGAATTAAAAATCCATCTTTGTAATGAGACTTAAAAATGGAAAACCACAGACCTGGGCAGAGAGGTCAGCTTTGTTCATTTCATATGCACTGAACTCCCCTGGCACGACATTGACACCTGTCTGTACACACCAGAAATGCAGAGGAAGGAAGACCTGCTCACTCTGACCCAGGTGCCAAAGGAAGCAGGGTGCTAGGACACCATCCAGCTGTGGCCCATTTGCACATGGCTGTTATTGGTGTTGTTGACAAAAGGGAGCTGGGGCACATCTTATAATTCCCTGCAAGAGGCAGCTTGCTACCACGATGGCCTTGCTGGAGCATGGAGAGGACCCATCAAATCCCCATGAAGTTCGCCAGCAGCACCGTTCATTCATCACTCTGGGCTGTCAAGCTGCAAAGAGCCTTTACAGATAGCTTGTCAGCTGCAGTGTCAAGATGATGTCCACTCACCAGCCAGACAGCACCACGACATCCGGACGCCCTCTTCCCCAGGCCCCAGGCTATGGTTCCAGTCTTGCTCCTCTCCCTCCCCCCTTGTTTCTCCAGCTCTCTGGCTCACAGCAGCGGGCTCAGCTGGAACAACAACCCTGTTCCCTGTTTTGCTGATGCTTCCTCTGCTAATTCACTTGGCTTGTACTGACGCACAGAGAGCCCCGGGGTGCATAATCCCAGAGGATATGACATATGAATGAGCACCACCACTTTGGGGGCCCCGCAGAGAGGCAGAGCAGAGCAGATAAGCCACTTTCAGATGGCTTCAGCAAATGGGAGGAAGCTCCAGACATCCACTCTGCAGTCTAAGCTGCTGCTATAGGCTTGTAAACACTAAGTATCATGGAGGGGGCCAAACTGTTCACTGAACCTTTTTACCTATTACTCAAATCTGTAAAGTCTGGTTGCATCTGCCAAAGTAGAACTAGAAGTGTCTGTCAGGTGAAATCTGTGCCATAAACCTATCTATAACCTCTGAAACTTTCTTTCCCTCTCAACTTATTATTATTATTATTATTATTATTATTATTATTGCACATAATCTACTTTAGGAGCAAAATTTTAAATATACAGCACACTCTTGTCAGCTATGCACTGTGCTGCCCAGAACGCTGCCCACGACCTGTTGGTCTCTTATAATCAAAATCTGGTGCCTTTGACTCTTGCCCTCTCCCTAGGCCACAACCCTCCCCCTCTGCTTCTGTGAGTTGATTTTAGATTTTTTTAAAAAATGATATTCTATAGTATTTATCCACTCACGGTTATATCTCCAAACTCATCAAATTGTACATATTAACTAATTACAGATTTTCATACGTCAAAAAATTTTTTAAAGAATATCGAATTGGAGGGGGTTGTGAAAATCAATATAAATAGGTCAAACTGCCTTATTTAAAAAAAAAAAAAAGCCTACTAGCTGGAGTTGAGCCTAGATGAGCCTAGATCCATGTCCAGACAGAAGTGCAGAGGACCATGTTGTAGCCATGTTCTTTTCTGTTCCCTCTGTTCTTCTGTGTTTGGATGTCAGAGGACCTCAGCTCCACCTCCCAGACTCTGGTGGGGGGAGCCTGCCAGCAGTACTGGGCCCAGTTCTCCCCCCTGTAAAACCAACAGATTAGGTCGCATTATCTCCAACATGCTTTTGCTTCTGAAACCCAGGTAAGCCAGGTCAGAAGAAAGTCAATGTCAAAGCCCAAGTTCATTCTAGACTCTCTGGAGGAGTTTGCCTTATATTCCAAGTCCCTGGGCTCAGCCTCACCAGCAGCCTGAGCTGGAATCACTGCTTTCCATCAATGGAATGTCAAGCCACACTTACAGTGAGCTCACAGTACACATCACAAAAGCATGTCCTTTCTGATCCGCGTGTCCTGAGTTTCAAGTCTAAGAGCCTTTTTGAGGCCTTAATCAAAGACCAAGATGTCAGAGAAGAGGCCATATGTCTGAGGTGTCGAGAGAGAGCTCACAGGCCCCAAGTAAATGATTTACTCCTCCCTGGCTGATTTACTGTTAATTTCTGCAGGATCTCACGCAACTTGAAAGGGTGCCAGCTGCTAACCACAAGGGCTCTGAGGACGCAGATGCACGGGGCCTCCAGAGCATGACTCGCCACTTCCCACAGGCTGGGGGTGAGGGGACAGCGAGGCAGGAGAACAGACAGGCTGGTGGCCAACCCCTGGCTCTTAGGGCTCCCTGGATGAGGCAATGTGAAGCCCTATGAATGTCCTATTTCCCATTCTGTAAAGTAGAGCAGTCACAGGTACCCCACAAGGTTATTTTGGATGAAACTGAAGAGAAAGCATCAGGGTAGACTGTGAGCTGGATTCATGGACCATGGCCTGAGGACGAGCACCTCACCACTTAACTACTCTGTGCCCAACATCCTAACCACCAAACAGGCCTCATAAATATTTACACTCAACGTGTGTTGCGATGCTCAATTAATTGTTCCTGTGACGCACTTGGTGAGCCTCAGAGGAAATGTGCACTGCAAGGACCAGGGATTACCAAAGGCACAAACAAGTTGGACCACGGAAGCCATGTCCTCCAGAGCTTTCCAGTGCCTCTGGGCTTTTCGAATCCGTGAAATCTAGGATGCGGCTGCTTCCAAAGGCACACTGTCCAGGGGGGAGCTGGAAAGTCCAAGGCCTGACAGAGAACTTACCAAGGAGGACACCCATGTGGCCCAAAACATTTGAAAAAGTAATTCAATCTCACTAGTATGCAAGGAATTAAAATAAGGACCCAAGGGCCAAGGAAGAAAATGATTTTAAAATATGGACTTAATGGTGGTGAGACATAGTGAAATGGTCATTTAATATTCTGTGGATAAGAACAGGAACTGACAAAACCCACTCGGAAGCAGACGAGTATCTTGCAACAAGGAGCCTCAAATGTCCATGCTACGTGGCCCATTCCCTGCGCTAGATTGAATATTCAGAGATGAGATTAAAAATGCAAGAATGAGCATACATGGTGATGGTATTTACAATAGTCAAAAACAGCGAGAACTAAATCCTCTTCCAAAATATCATAGAACTGATAAATATCATGGTTTTGAATAACATTGAAAGAGAATATATCCGTAACATCAAGACCCTGCATTCTTAAAAAAAAAAAAAAAAAAAAAACATGGACCTGGGTTGAACTCAAGCGCACCTTACCACTGAGCCACATCTCCACTTCTTTCTGTTTTTTTGAGTCATGGTCTAAGTTACCGAAGCTGGCCTCAAACTTTGGATCCTCCTGCCTCAGCTTCCCAAGATACTGAGATTACAGGTGTGTGCCACTGCACCTGGCTGAGGTCCTGTAGATTCTTTTATATTATTTTATACACATATATATGTTTATGTTTAGATGTGTGCAAGCATCTTCACCTACACATACACATATGTACACATATGTACACATACACATACACATATGTACATGAGAATCAACGAAAATGTGGTTTTTTTCCTACCTGCCTTTTTCTATTTTCCACATTTTCCCTAGTGTCTCTTCCAGCCTATTGTCACACCAACATAAAGCCTTTTCATGGGATGACTTGTCAGATGGCCTCTGATGACAGCCCTTTGGGAGAGGCCAGGGAGCTTGGGGCCCGACACTGACATTGGTTCTCTTTTCTGCCCTAGGTCATGGCCTCACCTCCACAGGACCACAGGTGAGTCAGGGCCTCTTCCTCCTAAGCTCTGGGAAGGTCAGCCTGGGTCTGTCTGTCAGGCTGCTTTTCCACCCCTCTCTGTTTTCCATTCTTTCTGTGGCAGAGAAACCCACAACCCTTTATTGTGCTCATGGGCTTTGCAGTTCAGGACTCTGGACAGTGAACAGGGGCAAAGGCTCTCTCTGCAGACTCCTTTCGTTTGCGCCTTCAGTGGGAAGAGTCAGTCAGCTGGGGCTTCTTCAGTGGGCTGGTGGGTGGGCCTGGATGACGAAGGCTGCACCTTGGGCTTGGGTGGACCTTATCACAGAACAGTGAGCAGTGTTGAGAGGGAGTATCCCAAGACGAAAAGCCAGACAGCAAACATCCCAAGTGACAAGGCTGAAGCTGCAAGTAGCTTCTGACCTGGCCTCAAAAGTCACATAGCACCATTTCCAACACACTCTGTTGATTACAAGCAAGTCGTCAAAGTCAGCCGCATTCCAGGAAGGAAGCTGGACCCTGCCTCTTGATAGCTGTTTTTATTTCAATAAAACCATCGGCCTGTTTTACATGCTCTGAGCTGCTTGAAGTCTTTCCCTCCAGGGTACAGCTGGTACAAGCCCTGGAAGCTGGCAGATGGGGGGTGGTGCCGGATCCTGGCTCTCCACTAATTAGCTGCCAGCCTTGGATGGCGTGCGTATCTCTCTGAGACTGAACTCCTTCATCTGTGAAGTGGGTCTAAATCTGCCTAAGCACCAGGATTGTGGGTGCTCAGTGGTGTTCATTCAACTAAGCACTATATCATGGGTTTCCCCAGAAACGAGGGTTAAAGTGATTCAAAAACCACATTTTATGTTTCTCCTAGATCTCTCTTCAGAGCCAATTTCCTGGCATTAGGCCCTTAGTGGAAGCCATTAAAGTGTGAGTAACAGCATGTAAGGTTGGTCTTGGAGGGTGATTTTTCAGGGAAAGTCCCATTGAACTTCTCTAGAGAGCAGGTGGCTAGACATGGTGACCAGAAGGAGACAGAAGGAGTCAGTGAGGGTCTAGAGGGAGCGTGCAGAGAGGTGATGGGACCAGGGCAGGCATACTGGAACATTTCCTTATGGAACACGTTGAGGTCTGAATCCGGCCCTCAACATGCGTTCAGGAGAATCTGGCAAAAACAAGAGCTAAATCAGAGTGTGGGTTTACTTAGGGCATGAGCACCCCGCCCTAACCCCCACCCCTATAGAAAATGTTCCTAATAAACTTCCCACTCAGGACTGAGGAGGAGTGTGCCCTCTTAGGTAGGTACTTCCAAGTTGTACCAGAGGCCTTTTGGTCTCAAATATACCACCTTCTTGCCACCTCTCATCCTTTCCACCATCCACTCGAGACCTAGAGGGAACTGGAGAAAATCCTAAGGAGCCCAGTGAATTCAGCTGCTTTTCTGATACACTGGCAGGCATCTCAGAGCCCAGGCAGGTAGAGTAGAGCAGCCAGCTGTACCTACCTACCTCTCAAGCTCCAGCTGGCTCCCCACCCCCCTCCAGGTAGAGAAACACTGCCAGGTGGAGGCTGCAATTCACTAACAATAATCTAGAAACACAAGCAAGGAAAAGAACAAACCAAAGCCTCAAAAAGTTAAAGAAGAGGCTGTCCATCTCAGGGACATTTATAACAATCTCAGATACTTAAAGTTGTTTTCAATTTTTTAATCATAGGATTAGTTAAAAATATGGCTGGGCATCCATACAAGAAATTGCTTTGTAGTCATTTAAAATGATGATGTTGGGCTGCAGGGTGTTGCTCAGTGGTAGAGAGCTTGCCTAGCATTCACCAGGCCCTGGACTTAATCCCCAGCACTGAAAAAAAAAAAAAAAATGATGATGATGTTGAAGCATGCCCATTGGCATGGATATGTTGATGTTGGTAGCATGTTATTTTGTAGAAAACAACATAAACCATGTGATCATGTATGCACACACCAGAGCTGGGGGACAGACATGGCTACAATCAAATATTTATAGTGGCTGTCTTGGTATGGACACGGTAGTGATTTTTATTCTCTCCTTTTTTGCATATATGTGCCTTAAATTTTTCTACAGTCACATATATTTTGTATACTAGAAACAATCTATCAAGATATAAATTCTTAGGAAAAAAAATTCTCCAGGCCTGTAAAAGACAGACACATATTCAGACTTGGGCAATCCGTCAATGTCAATACCTTCTCAGAGGCTTATACAGAGAGAAAAGAGCTATATTTTTCCATAAAATAAACTCATGAGTTTTTCTCCTCCCACTGAGTGAAGAATAAAATTGGAGAAGATAGCCTCATTTAGAAAGTGGGTCCTTCCGTCGTGGGTCACCCTATGCAATAAAAACCCTGAAAAAGATAGACTTTGGCTGATTTGATTAAAAAGACAAGAAATTTCATTTTGTCCGGGAACATTTGATTTTTTTTTCTAGTTTTCTAAGGAAAGAAGTCTTCAAGGCTGATTTTTTCCCACTTTTAAAAGAAAAATTAATAAGGATTTTGGGATTGGAGGAGGAAAGGCAGGTACAGAATAGTGAGCGTCCAGTGCCCCCTGCTGGCGCCTCGCAGATCCTTCAGCATCTGGAGTGAGGGAGCAGAGGACAGTTCGCCTGGTCCTGTCCAGGACGTGCGGACCGTGGGTGGACAGAAACAAATCCAGAAGTGGACAGCCGAATTGCTGGGCCAAGGCGTCTTTTCAGCACAAGCCAGAGTTTCAAATCAGCCCAAGACTGGCAAACCCAAGGGCTGCGATCACCTCCAAAGCCAGTGAATGTTGGAGTCACAGAATTAAAATGCCTAATGTCAGTCCCGGCCTAGAGTGAGGCCAGGGCAGCCTCGTGTCACCAAGATGACGCCAGTTCAGGTAGTTCCAGGATGTTCTATTGAAAATCACTGTCTGAGGCCCCAGAAGGAATAAGAGGCAGGGTGTGGGACCAGAAAGATATCAAGACTGTCCCCACCAGAAAGCTGCTGTCAATTAGCTAGCCAAGGACCGTCTCACGTCACATCTGGGTTTCTGAAGGCACCATGGAGTGGTAGGGAGGCTCCTCCCGTTTATTAAAGCTGAGTAAGAGCATGTAAGATTTGTCTTCTCCCGTTCACTCTCAACCCTCCATTCAGCCAGGTGGCAGTAGGTCCACAATGTGACAGACACAAAAGCCAGCGTTGGGCAGATTTTTTGTTTAATAAAACTGAAAAGGTAAGACCCCAAGGACTCAGCTGGGCTTGGGTTGTAGTAAGTGCTTTGCAAAAAATGAGGAAATCAAGCTCTAGAAAAGACAGGTGAACTTCCAAGGGCCACCCAATGAGAACGATAGGCCTCTTCTTCAAACTCCCAGTGACTGTTTCTACTGTAGCTATCTGTGACTTGGAATCATCAACTCACAATCTCAGATCAGGGAACTGTGGTTCAGAGAATAAAATGGAAATGCCCAGAAAGCTAAATGACTGAGTTTCTGTCTTCAGAGAGACAGGAAACATACAGACTCTCATATACAGTCATGCACCACATAAAGACCACAAACGTGATGGTCACCCCAAAAGACTTCAACAGGGCTGAGAAATTCCTGTCACCTGGTGCCACTGTGATGTTGTGCATCAAGTGTTACATATTTGTGCTGAAGCTGGTTTGAACAAACCTACCCCCACTGCCAGTCTTGCAAACACAGCACATACAATTACGTACAGCACATAATACTTGATAGTGATGATAAACTATGTTGCTTCTTTATGTGTTTATCATACCATACTTTGCATCAACATTCTGGAGTACTCCTGCTTATAAAAAGGCGGGCTGTAAAACAGGATGCGTGTTTGCTGGCAGCAGTCTCACATCTCATGCTCACTGGGGCTCTTGCTGGCATCAAGTACCCCGTGGAGTGATTCACCTCGGCCATTCAGGTCTTGGCCATGTCATTCTTGGTGACATTCAAATAACAAAGTCGCCTAATGATGCATGTCTCAGAACATAGCTACCATCAAGTAATGCATAACTTACATCTATTTTGTCTCTGTTCCTCTCTCTTCCCTTTCTTCTACCCTCCCTTCTTTTCTCCCTTCTTGGCCAGCATGAGCCACGGAGTCAAGCCCACTCACCTCCTAACCCTTTACTCAGAGGTAATGGAAAGGAATGTAAAGAAGGCTGTTCCTGCCTCTCCATCAAACATGGATAGAGGCTGACCTGAGGATTCTCTCAGTTCCTGCCAGGGAAGGGTTGTGGACGCTCCCATTTCTGCCACACAAGAAGCCACCTTGCCGCCCTCTGTCTTATAGCATCTGAAGTACCTGCCAGCTTCTCCAAGACAAAAGCAAACTGGCAGTGGTAAGACCACAGCCCAAAACTTGAACGCTGGTTCTCTCATACCACCAGCAAGTCCTAAGACCCAGGGTGAGGGAAATGAAAGCCATTAACACACCCAGTCCCTGGTACTCGCCAGGCATTTCGTGACCTTGCCTCACTTACCAGTGAGGTACATTCATTCCCACTGTATGGATAAGGTAAACTGAGCCCCAGAAATGTCAGATAGGTTGGAAAGAAATCAGTGAAGGAGAACTTTGAGCCATCGGGACGCACCTGGGGTGTTGTTAGAGAAATCGGGCTTTCGCCTCTCATTGACCTGAGCCCCACAGCCAGAAGGGAGCAAGGCTTGAAGAACCCTTGTGAAGGAGGGCCAGGTGGATGTCAGCAGAGCCCAATGCTGAAAAAGTCACGTTTTACTTAAAAACGAGCAAAAGGTAGTGAACAAGTTCCTACAATAGAAACCAGTGTTAACAACTTAAACTGAGTGAGAAAAATGTGGTCACGAAATTGAACTTGAAAAGACAAACCCAGAACACAGCATCTTGTTTGTGGGCACTGAGCCGGGAGGATACCCTCCAGAAACTGTGAGCCGATTTCCTACCTCCTTGCCATGGGCCGAAACTTTCCAGCAGCTCTTTGGGGTAGACACTATTATACCCATTCCACAGGGTGACAGTAGTTAACAAGGCTCACCAGGGG